CCAACGTCAATCACCATCAACGGTAGGGATTTGAAAGGAGTTACTTCATTCACTTATCTAGGGAGCATTGTCTCAACTACAGGAGGAGCGGACGGGATGTCAAATCGAGAATCGGGAAGGCGAGAAACACATTCATCAACCTGAAATCAATCTGGAAATCTTCGTCACTCAACTCAGTATCAACAACAAAATTCAGTCGGATTTTCAATACAAACAACGTCAAGTCATTCAGTCCTTCTATATGGATCAGAAACTTGGCGGGTCACAACGAATATTTCCAAAAGGTTGCAGACCTTTATTAACAACTGTCTTCGCTCTATACTGAAGATCAGATGGCCGGAAAGAATCACCAACAAGGAATTATGGGAACAAACAAAGCAAGAACCAATCGGCCAACAAATATGCAGGAGAAAGTGGGGATGGATCGGACACTCGCTGAGGAGACCACTGGGTGACATCGCGCGTCAAGCCCTCGAGTGGAACCCGAAAGGGAAGCGGTGAGTAGGACGTCGGAGTAAAGGTGACATGGAGGAAGTCGTGTGAAGAGGAGTTGAAAGAATATGGATTAACATGGATGCAGGCGAAAAGTACAGCAGAAGACAGAAGCAAATGGAGACGTGCAGTTGAAGCCCTATGTTCCACTACGAACCCAAGGGAGCAATAATAATATTATTATAATATCACAAGGGAACCATTGGAAACCAATGAGTACTTTATAGCTGTTTCTACCCCGTCCGGTACTCATCTAGGACGTCTAGGTTACGAGATGAGAGGGTTGAACATTAAACCCGGGGGAATAGGATCCAGTCAGTTATGACTTATAAATTCTTCCATTTCGCGATATATATATATATGTCACCGCTGCTGGAAGTCCACTTTGCAATCAGTCATCAGTGATGAGCAGCAGGATGATTTTCAGGTATGCATTCGACTAAATAACATAAATTGTACGAATTTGTTGTCTTACTACAACCTCCTCACAATTCCAGTTATCTTTGATAGGATAACTATTTAACATTAATGTGAATGTAGAACTTGGGCACTGTGGTAGAATGCATTTCCATATCAGATAATTTTATCTTAAACATCATATGGCGATGCAGTATTAACAACTGGATGCCGTTTCGAGCTTAACTATATGGATTTAGTCACATGGTTTCACAATTTGTCTTATATATGCATTCCTTCTGATGATATTAGATGGTTGGAGACCATCGGCCACAGGAAGCCTTGCCTGACATAGGTCTCGTGCTATTCGGCACTCACCAGTCAGCAAGGCGTATCTGCAACCTTGAAGGAACTCATATCCCTTCTGAGATTCCAATACGCGTCGCCCAGTGCTGAAGTCAGAGACCTTACCATTCCTTCTCTCTTTCTATCTCCCCCCCCCTTTGTTGTTTGTTGCCACTCTTCATTTCTCCATTGTAGGTGTTCCGTCAATCTAGTTGCACATATACGGTGTGGAATCGATAAATAAAGCTTCAGTGATTGACCTATCTGTCTACCAACCTAACTAACTATATTACGTTTTACTACTCTCACCCCGTCCCACCCACACCATCGCGTGTGATAACCGAGTTTTCGTCTAGGTTATTTAACTTAGAAGAGTCAATCATCATTCATTCTAGGTGTAGTCGAAATTTTATGTTCCAGTTATCGAATTGACCCCGATGTAATTAATAGTTTGATTGACCTCACAATCAGCATTACATGGTATTTGGTAGATTATATTTTATTATTTCTCTTAATTGGATCTATGAGATCGTTAGGCCGACAAAGTTTATCTCTGAGAGAACTGGTTGGTTGGTTGGGTTAAATGGTACCGCGATTTCAGCTACATTGAGAATCCTACCTATTCAACAAATAAAGAAAGAAAATATTACTAGGGAATAACTAACTGCTCATCATAATTTGTTCAAATGTATGAGAAATCATAGAAAAAAAGTTGGATTAGTAATGAAAATAACAAAAATAATGTAGAATTTAAAGCCTCTGTAGCACTGTTGTATAAAGAAGGAACATCAGAGCTCCTGTGCTACACAGTACAAGCGTCCTTTGACGAAAATGCACTTATCATGTCTACGTAAGAGATGAGGTATGGATAAGAAAAATATCTTAATATAGCAAAACTATTCATTCAGACATCTGTTGAAACACAAAATACTTGAGCAAAGAATATCCTTTGCGATAATTTCCTCTTCTGGCTCTACAATTATATATATATATATATGCATGTTTATATACATAGAATATTCTAGATTAGTATTATTTATTATTATTATTATTTCCTTTAATTCCTAGAGGAACATAGGGCTTCAGCCAGACGTCTCCACTGCGTTCGGTTTTCTGCCAACGTTTTCATCCCGCTCGAAGTCTGCCCATATTCTTTCATCTCCTCTTCACATGACCTTCTCCAAGTCACCCTTGGACGATCAACACGCCGCTTCCCTTTCGGGTTACACTCGAGGGCTTGTCTAGTGAGTGATGTCACTTGATGGTTTCCTCAGAGTATGGCCAATCTATCTCCATAACAATATTAGTGTGCTTTTTAAATAATATAGATTTGTAAAGTAAGATCAATGGAATTACCACAGTTCATCAATGATGCTTAAATTATAATAATAATAAAGATATAGTGGCAAATAGATTATCAGCTAAAATTAGGAAAATTCCACAGAAATTCAGGATCATCTTGGGAAATTCTTTCTTCTCCTTGTTGAGATTTCATCAGTCATGAGTCCATTAAGGCTGATACATTTTCCCCAAAAGTGGAATACTAAACACATTCAACAGTTCCTCTCCCTACCCGTAAATTTACAGCTAGTACAGACGATTTATTCGTATTATTATTCTTTTAAGTTCCGCCTGAAACATAAGGCTTCTACAGTACATCTACGTTATGTTCTCTTCTCTGCAGTCCTCTTTAGTTGGCTACACGATTGTCAATACGCTGTTATCTGCTCCTCACAGGATCTCCTACACGTTACTTTTAGATGCCCAGCTGGCCTTTTCCCATACGCATTCCATTTGACGGTCTAGCTCGTGATGTCACTGAAGAGTCTTCTCAGCATGTTTTAGATACACCTCAGTTTGTTGAGCAATAAGTCTTTGATTGGTTCGTTCCAAGAGTTCCTTGTAGCAGATCCTTTCTGGGCATCTTATGTCTAATGTTATAGAGCGAAGGTATCTATTGATAAAAGTTTGAAGTCTATTGGGTATGCCTTTCTGTGGTTCGTATCCGCCTCGTCAGATCAAACCTCGTCTAATTTATTGGTTTGTCCTGAGCCCACGAGAATACATAAGTTTGAGTGTGGAGACACCAAACGTACCCCTTTAAAAAATCAGCCCACTCGATACAGAAACTTCACTGCATATAACAGATGATTTATGCAACACCAAATATTTCAGTCGTGAATTGCACCTGAAAATATGCTCAAATTTCACTCTAACATATTAGAAATTTTTTTACTGAGTGATCACTGCTTTGCATTTTATTCCTCATATACCATTAAGTCAAATTATTTTAATCATGCTGGCTAAATAGATGGTTGGAGGCAGTTGGTAAGAAGCCTGACCTAAGCTTCATACTTTTTGACAGAATTCATTCAGCACTAAACAAAGGACTAGACGCCTAATCCTAATGTTACTTGCTGTCTACCGTCCAACCAAAGTATCGATCAACGCAGCACACATCTACTTAGTGTAAAGACAGAGGAAGAGAAAGACACCTGAGCAGATAGACAAATGAAGCCAAAAATGATAAATCTATTAAGAAAAAGTTACAGACAAAGTGAATGAGACAGTTACCTGGCGCTGAGTTCAGGGTGATCAAGAATGCTCTGACCCGAGGTGGAGGCTCACCATTGCACGTCGGTGGGTTGAAACTCGCTACGGACCCTAATCGGGTGCGCCCAGGCGTGTAGTTTTTGTCATTGAGGAGGCTTCACGATCCTTCCTTTTATAAAATTGTGCATCGGTGGTGACACAGTGGTTAGGACACTCGCCGACCATGCACACGGTCCAAGGTTCGATCCCTGACCAACGCACACCTGATATCAGGTGGCCGGCCTGCAAAATTTTGACTACCAATATCACATGCTGAAAATTCCATACTTGTACCAAAAATACTGTGTGGAATCAAGGTATAATCCAATAAATGTATGTATAATTGGCCTCCTTGATGAATGTCAACAAGCTCGAAACCTAGATTAGGCGAGGCCCCTCGCAGATCGCCTCGAGCCACTCTGATGGCAAGTCATCTAGCCTGGTGGTGGTCACATTACACACTTGAGGGATACAAGAATTCCATCGGTAGTAAAAACAAACGGCTAGATTGCACGACAACGAAGTTACTTATTTACTTTTGTTTCAGGATTTCATCATGAGCTGACATTAGTTAGAGAACCATTGGAAAACCAGCTGGGAGTACGGGACAGCTGTCTCCTCCGTCCTAGTTTGGGACTCTTCAGCAGTACGCATCCACCACCGATATGGTTAGAACCCAGGACCTTCTGGTTACAAGGCGAGCTAACTCGTAGACCATTAAGCCAATGGGACGCGATCCAATGGCCCATGAATTCTAATTTCTCCCACTTCATGACATAGCGCGATCCCTAGCCAATGTCTTCGGCGAGTATTTGTCCTCACACCCGACCGGCTGCACCCTACTGGTCACGATTTCTCACTGGAACCCCAGGTAACTACCTACCTGAATAGGGCAAGTCGCCAGTGAGCATCTCATTGTTATTCAAGTGTTGGTTTGTAGGGATTTGTTTGATTGTATGGAGGATTCCATCATGAGCTGACATTAGTTAGAGAATCATTAGAAAACAGGCTTGGATTACTGGACAGCTATTCCCTCCGTCCTAGTTTGGGACTCTTCATCAGTAAGTACCCTCTGGGATTCGAACCCGGTTTTGTGTTTAATCGAATTATCGCTAAGATTCTTATTCATTTAATCAAGGATATCTTTTGTTTTTTGCTTTGCCTTCATTTTCCAGCTGTTTCCCAGGATATAGAATGACAACAACATCCAAATATATTTCCAATCTATGCTGATAAAAATAAAATGGGCGGGGTGGGGGTAGAAAGAAGGAAAATAGAAATGAAATTTTAATCTTTATACATACATACATACATATATCGATTTAAATATGAAGATTATTCACTGCTGGTCAACACAAAAACAATATAGGAATGAATAATTTATTCCAATAGAAGACAGAAGAAAATTTACCCATATATATATGCTTTGTTGTTTTTGATTTCCCTCTGTGAATTGGTTTGAACAATCAAGCGATACGCCAACTGCAATAAAAGCAACAACAATAACAACAACACCAACGAATAGACAGCCAACATATGACAGTCAATCATCTGATATCATGAGAGATGAGTAGGTTGTAAAAATAAAAGAAGTCAACAAAATAACAAGAACAGACGAAGAAGACACAGGAGAAGATGGAGAGAGAGTTTTTCAAAACAAATGGATCTGAAGTATATCTGATGAGATAGATAGATAGATCGATAGATAAAATAAGCGAAATCTGATGTGAAGTGGAATTTTCTCTCGCATATCGAATTCATAAAAGCAAAGGGATAAAGAGAGAAACAATTGGGTAAAGTTGTATATACATATATTCCAACTGTCTTAATTGCCTCGATAGACCTTCTAACCTTGAGGAGTAATCTCTTAACTATGCTTTCAATATTATTATAATTATTACTTATTTATATCAAAATTAAACGACGTTTCTATTTGGCTCTTGTTTTTTCTTTCTGTGTAGTTGTGTTCTTTGAACTGGCGAAGCTTTCATTGTGACAGTCATACTAGACAGCATCGTCAGAGTATACTTCAGTTTGAAGTATGAATTTTTAAAAGTTCTCTACGAGTTATTCGATCACCTACCTCTCTCTCTCTCTCTGCCTGATCTGAGTACTGGAGTACTGGACAGCTAGGTGTTTCGTCCTAGTTTGGAGATCATCATCAATATACGATTATTATTATTATTATTACTTCCTTTCATTCCTAGAGGAACATAGGGTTTCAGCCGCGCGTCTCCATTGCGTTTGGTTCTCTGCTAGAGTTTTCACTTGGCTCCAAGTCTGCTCACATGTTTTCATCTCCTCTCCATATGACCTCCTCCAAGTCACCCTTGTACTGACGACGAACTCGCCGCTTCCCTTTCGGCCTGGTTCCACTCGGGCAATGACTTGTCTAGTGATGTCACTTGCTGATTTCGTTTTTCAGAGTATTGCCAATCCATCTCCATTTCTTCCTGCTTATTTGTTGGTTGGTTCGCTCCCAGAGGTCCCTATTGCTGATCCTTTCTGGCCATATGGTCTTGAGTATTAAGCGAAGACAGCTGTTGATGAAGGTCTGTAGTTGATTTAAGATGCTCTTTATGACGCGCCAAGCCTCTGATCCGTATAGTAAGTAGCACTGACTTTACATTCCAGTTGAAAATCCGGATGTTATTTTTGATGTTGAGTACTGTTGACCTCCACACAGACCTGAGAGTCTTTCTGTCTGTCTGGATTCAACATAGAACTTGGCACTGAAGTGCACCAGTTCGAGTTGCCACGTTCCAAATAGCACACAAAGGTAGACAAGAAGATGAATGAAGAGAATCAATAGAGTTTGACAGATATGAGAGTGAAAGAGAATGGGTAATGGTAGAAAGGAATATGAAAGATTACAGAGACTGAATACATCTTCGCTGGCCATTGACAACGATTTTGAGCCATGTCATCTATTGTCTCCAGCCATTGATTCTTAGAGTCCCGAGGGCCCCAACCCGGAAGTCTTCATCTCCCTACCTGACCGACTCAGTTTAACTGTCAAGGATTTCATGGATTGATGAGGCCATGTTTTTGTTTGGCCACCACTTACTCTTTTCCAACCTGCACCTACCTATATCAGATAATAATGCCCGCCGGGGGAGGTGATGGTTAGGCATGCGCAGCGTGTGACCTAGCCATCTCAATCTATGTAACTTTATAGCCTCGTCGATTGATTTTCCCTCTTTGCCTGCCCAACACTCTACGCCCAACGTCAACATTACTTACCTTATTATACCACCTAACATGAGAAAGAGATCGTAGACATCTATGATGGAAAGCAGTCAATCTTTTCATGTCTTTAACTCGTATTGGCCATGTTTCAGAGCCATAGAGAAGGACGGAGCGAACTGCTGAGTAGTACACACGTCCCTTGGTTGACTTGAGAGTAATGAAAGCTTGTCTTGCTTTTCCGATTCCAATCAATACACAAACCCAGGACCTTTCGGTTACAAGTAAAGCGCATGGAATATTCAGCCACTTAGACCCACCTCAACGGCCAGCTTATGAATTCTGACTTCTATCACTTTGTTATCTTAGCGTGACAATTAGCCAGTGATTTCCAAAAGTAGAACGCAACATCCGGTTGTCCAGTACTCCCACTCTTTTTTCGATGATTCTCTAACTAATGTCAGTCTTTGGTCAAACTGGAAACAAAATCAAATCTCTGCAGTCTAACTCTTGAAAATCTTGTCCGTGTCATTGTTTCTGTTGATCGCCTATTCAATTGAATCCCAAACTTTCAAGAATTTTCTGGCGGTTATCGTGTTTTTCTCTGTCCAGGATTTGATGACTGTTCAAGTTGAATTGGTGTCCATAGTTGTCTGGATAAATTGATGTGAAGGAATATCTTTTAATGGCTAGTTTATGTTCATGGATGCAAAGACGAAGAGGGCGTCTACCTTGGCCAAAGTCCTGTTTTTCACAGTTGTCGGAATTTATCTCTTGTAAATGATGTTGGTTTTCTCTTCTTTCGCTTCTAAGTCTTTTGGTTGACATAGAACCAGTCGAGTGAAGTGATTTTGTTGGTTTGTGGGTGACATCAATTCGAAATGGTTTGAGTAGTCTTCCTGTGAGTTTGCAGATATTCTTTGTGTATGGTAGGACAGTTTTATTTGTGCTTTCATTGGAGACTTTTGATTTGACCGGTTGGGCTGAGGGTAAATGTATTTTGGTGAAGTTTCATGGATATCCATTTTGTTTTAGAATATGGCTATAAGATATTTTTCTTCCACTTTCCTGTAGTTAGGAATTCTCCAATGAGTCCTGACTGTCTTGAATAATGTTTACATACCGCCCTTTTTGTGTGGCATTGGATTGTTGCTGGTGTAATATAGTATTTGATCTGTATGAGTTGATTTTCTGTATACATAAATTTCTAAATTTCCCTGTAGAATTTCGCTTATGCATGTGACATCAACGAAGGGCCAAGTTAAACTTAAAGCCCCATTAACTACCAATGGAGGACGACCGCACCAATGACCTTGAAGTGCTCACTCAGCAAGTTAGTGAAACTTGGCATATAATGTTGCCATCATCAATAAAATATGCTCATCGAAGTGCTATGCTATTAAATAGGATATCTGGCAATTTTCAGCTTAGGTGTTTGGGAAAGATTAAGTTACTGTTTAAGCCAAGGACGAGTCAATAATAATAATAATTTTCCTTCACGTTCCCCAGTGGAACATAGGGCTTCAAGCTAGTGGCTAGGAGTGCGTCGGCCCGGGATCGAACCCTGGACCATATGCATGGTCGGCGAGCGTCCTAACCGCTGTGCCACCGACGCATAAGGACGAGTTAGGGTTAGGCTAACTTATTAAAGGTAACATTATGGTCAGTTCAAGTTAGATTATTGTTAGTTTAGGCATATTTTCACGTTAGAGTTAGATTTAGGAGAGATGAGGGTTATTGTTAGGGTAAGAAGACCTAAATAGTTACATGCATAGAATGTGGTTGTCCACTGTGGTGGAGTATAATTCCATTGCGGGTAAAATTTATTTTGATGAATTCTCATAGTGTTATACAGTAATATTTACCGATGACAACGTTTCGAGCACAACTTATTGCTCAGTAAATATTACTGTATAACATTATGAAACTTTATGAAAATAAATTTTACCCACAATGGAATCATACTCTGTTGATACTCCAACCTAAAACTGAGGGCTGTCTTTATCACATGTGAGATCAAGGTATCCCCTGTAACACTTTTATGCAGTTTTTATGTAACTGTTTCATAAATATATGTATCCCATAAACAATAATGCCTCCTTCACGTGATTGGTGCGTTTGAGGTCATTCACTGATTGGTAGTTGGTGGTGCGTTAAGTTTAACTTTGGCGCGTATCCAAATGCATTCCATCCAACTTCCGGGTTGTCCTTTTAAGTTTTGTAGGAGGTATCCCACGTTACTCAATAATCACCTCATGGTTTTTTTTGTTAGTTTCTGTCCATTCAAAGCTTATGATGCTCTGATATCCAAGAGTACAATTATCTTTTGGTTGTCTATTTGATGGAAGCCTTGGATATTCTCCGACTATTGGGTTGGGGATTCAATAGAGTGATCACAGGATGTAGCACCTAAAATCGACTCTTTGTGCCATGAACGCAGGGAACTGCTTCTTGCGTTCTAATCCATAGTCTTCTGAATCTTCCTTGAGGAAATCACATTCACAAGACACTCCAAACACATCAAAAAGAAGATCATCGGCCGTAGAATCTGACAGCCTATTCAGCAGTAATAACACCAAAAATTAGAACTTACCTCAACAGTGCGGTTAGAAAAGGTAAAATTCTGAGTATAAAACAAGCACTGTAGAACAAAATTAGTAAGACAAAATTCGACTGTAAAAATTACCCCACATTCATTTAGAATATTCCCAAAATGGTGGAAATAAACACTCTTTCCTCAAGAATCATACACCAACAATTATCAAAGACAATCCAAGATCAGAATCACCTTCACTCACTTAAACAAAATCACATCGTTAAACAGCCCATTATCAATGTATTTTCACACAATCAAAATGAGAAGCAATAGAATTAGAGATTAAACCGGGACAAAGCTTTCATTACTCTTCCTTGGCACGTCCACGTCAAGAAAATGAATATTAGACTCATTCTCCATTTCACGTGTGAATTTTATTGCTAAATGGCAACTATTAAATGTATTTAGTGT